ATCCAACAGCTCTGTTTGTTCCGTTTGCGTCTCCTCAAATTATATGAAATTATCAATCTCATACTGTGTCAAAAATTTGAAATCTTCGAAGTACTGTAGCATTGCATTGTATTTTTAACCTTAAATGAACTTACTGCAATTTGAATGTTGCTCATTTGGAAGAAGAGGAAGACGAAATAGATGAAACGCATATTGATGTAAGTAATTCCTTTCCTATTCTGCAAACATTCAAGTTAACTGGTGCAGTGAATGGTGGCTTATAAGAAGTAAGATCACTTGCTGTTTGGCATTTACGTAATGGAAGAATTTCTTCCGGTAAATGTTTTCACAAATATATTAACATTGAAATAGTGGATAGTTTCGATTTGTTGTTAGTATAATATAATTGCATTTCTTACTTGAACGATAAGCATAAGAAGTTATTCAGGTTGTAAATTGGTGGTAAGCGTTCCAAAACGAAGTCTTCACAATGTTCATAGTTACAAATTTAATAAGAATGTCGGCAAATGTTTTCCCAAATTTATTAACGTTGAAAAAACGAAAGGCTTCGATTTGCTGCTAGCATAATATCATTGCATTTCTCATTCAAACGATAAACATAAGATGTTATTCACGTTGCAAATGCATTCCTAAGCGAATTCTTTACAATAATCCTGGTTACCAATTTAATAAAAAGATAAAATACTAACGAAATTTGCAGCGTGAATAACATTTTATGTTTATCGTAATGTATTTGCATTTCTCATCCAAACGAGCTTTCAGAAATTCTGCAAACTTTCAAGTTAACTGGTGCAGTGAATGGTGGCTTACAAGAAGCAATATCACCTGCTGTTTGACATTTACTTAATGGAAGGATTTTTTCCGGCAAATGTTTTCCCAAATTTATTAACATTGAAAAAACGAAAGGCTTCGATTTGTTGCTAGCATAATAGAATTGCATTTCTCATTCAAACAATAAGCATAATAAATTATTTATACTGGTGATCGGTCGCAAACGTCCCAAAGCGAACTTTTCAAAATATTTGAATTTATTAAAAAGATAATTTTGTTTTAAAAAAGTGCTTATTTACAGGGCCATCGTGAAATTCCAAAATCTTCTTAACACGATATTTTGAGATGCAGTTGGCATTCTCTATCGAAATAAATAAAATAGAACTTACTGGATAAAATTCGTGGAAGAGAGCTTGACACAAACGACCAGTTGCTGCTTCTGTTAGGTACTGTTCAAGTATCGTCTGTATAAATGGTCATCCAAATGGGAGTGGCAAACTATCTATATTGATGATCTGTGTCGACGTGTAATAATGCAATAGTAGCAGTTGCTGTTTAATCCTTCATACTGAATAATTTCATTTTAGTTGTAGTATTGCATTGTGAAAATTAATTTATGCAAAGCCGTCGCAATTTTGTATAATTCAGTTTCATTTCACTTCAATTTTTCCAAACCCTTAAAATTGAGCCAATATTAGGAAGAGAGAAAAACTGCATTGCTACATTTTTTGCAATTTATATATACACTGAATGATTTCATCAAATCATTTGTTGTACTTCATATCCATTTTTAAACATAGTTTTCAAATTTGTTTGTAACCAAAAAATTCGTGAAACTTTGAAAATTCTACGATTTCAAAAATGAAAAAAGTATTTATAGTTCACAAAGCGTGAGCGCTGATGAAGTATGAATGATGATAGTAGCTATGACGATTTCAAGGAAATTTTAGCCTTTCCCATCAAACCCAATATCAATCCTTTTCATTTATGTAAATTTCATATTTTTCGAATGGAAAAATGGGAAGTGAATAGCGGAAATTAAATTTTGCTTGCTTCCTTACTACATATAACAAATCCGGAATGCCTATTTTACATTCCAAAAAATCATTTCAGGAATGATGAAAAGATGCTTAGGAAGACTAATTGAAAACTCAAAAGAGTGCTTGTCGGCGTAATTTGATCTTTCTTCATATTTTAAATCAAAAAGAAGTTTCCAATTTATCCATTTTGTCCTTTTTAAACAATTCCCAAAATACTAGAAATTTGCATATTTCAAATTAGGAATATTGATTAGTTTGGATTGTAAAATTTTTCATATTTTCATATTTTTAGCAACATATATGATGATTTGTTTAATATTGTTTGATCGGTTTGTTTGTCGAAATTCGGTGATTAGCACGTTTATTTATTAATTCTTTCTCATTAATTTTGATCTTTGTTCCATTATTTGATCTTTCTTCCTTATCTAAATTCATGAGAAAAAAAAATGAGTTAAAAACAAATAAACAGAATATATTCCATTTATTCAATTTTTTTTTGGCCATGATTTTAAAACGATAACTTATGACATCCAGTTTTTTTTTTGTTTTTTTATTTTTTCTAATTTTACTTTCAAATATTATCTCATAGAAAGATTTATTCAAAGTCATTTGCATGTTTATCAGTGAAATTTTCTTAAACAAATTTAATTACAAATTAATTATCAAATAAAGTGTATTGAAATAAATTTAGCCATAGCCTATTTTGAAATAAATTTCAATTAAATATATGTATTACAACTAAACTTATTCATGTTTGTTATATATTTAATCTCTATCATATTTTATGAATACAAATGCACACATTTGTAATAAGTAAAGGTATATTTACTATTTATATTTATGTAATCTTTTGTTACTTTATTCATGTTTTGTTCATTTATATTAAAAGGAAATTCTAATTCTTTTAAAATTTTGCAATTCATTCTCTATTCGATATGTATTTTGTCCATTTGTCAAACTTTCTCATAACTATTCTTCCTTTTATTGTTTAAAATATTTTAGAAATTGATTTGAGTAAATTTTAACTGAAAGAATATTAATTATACACATGTTCAAACATCAATTATGATATAAAAAAAAACATCATTGTTATTTTTGCTTAACCTAACAAACACAATAAACATTAATTAAGTCATTAGAGTACTATGATGATTAATTATCATGATTAAGATTCTAGCTAAAGATGTTACGATTAATTCTTACGATTATAATTCTAGCTGAATTTATCTTTTTGTGCATGTATCATAAAAATTAAATATCTTTAGTAATAATTAATTTTTCGACAAATTCTGTTCGTCATAATGATCATTAATTCCATCATAGGGAAATGTGAAGTTACAAAATATTGAAATTTGAAATATTCATAACTGTGTTATCATTGATTAAATGATAATTGTAAATGATCTTCAAAAACTTTTCTAATCAATTTTTAAACTTGCTGCTTAATGTAAGCAGTTTAGGCATATAACGCTTAATACGTGTTAACTTTACGCAAAACTAATTAATCGTAAGTAATAGATAATATTATTTATTTGTTATGTAATTTTTTGCAAATGGATATATTTTTAAAAAAGTAATTAATTTTAATTAATTTTCACAATCAATTTTTGAACTTGCTGAATAAATAGGATGATTTAGATTTGAGCTTAAAATTAATTGCTTTTAAATTAGCTTGAAGGGAATTATTCATCTTTCCTATATTATTATCACGTCATTAAAGTAAATTTAAAGTTATAAAATATTGAAATTTGAAATACTCTTAACTGTATTAATATTTGAAAAGTCATTAGGTAAAGCATATAAAAAAAAAAGAAAATCTTTAAATGAAGGATATGATCTAATCATTTTACTGCATGTTTTTTATAATATGCGCGAATTTCAAGCATGCTAATGTGATTGTAAGTAAGTCAGGAAAGTCAAAATAGCAAGAATTGATGCTATCAAGATTGTAAATATCACTGATTACAAGATCATATCAGGTCAAAATTATCAATGAACTTTGATCAGCAATTTTAGATGAAGAGAAAGATTCAATAATTGTTACTTTAAGTATTTAATAACTGATACTTTGAGTATTCAGTAACTAATGATCTGAGTATTCAGTAACTTATACTTTGAGTATTCGATAACTAATACTTCAAGCATCACCAAATATCATGTGATAGCATATGACATCCATCACTGAATACTACATAAAATCGGTAGTTTCACGTAAATTATCTTGAATAGTGTCATTTACATATTGGATAAATAACATGTCATTTTCTTGCAGTACAGTACATAATAATTATTATTATTGTAAAGAAAATTATTATTAATATTTCATAACTTACAAATTCATCCTTAAAATTATTTAAACGTAATATTACTGTGATAGAATGTCAAATACGTTCAAGTATTCCAATCATTGAATTACTTTTATTCCAATCCTTAATTAATTAATTTGTTTACAGTTATAAATTTGTAGCAAATATCATATTAATTTAGAAATTTTCAGGTCAAAGAAGCAAATATTACTGTGAAATCATTAGTTGCACGTTGAAGGACGCATACATATGGAAAGTTAGGACTTTTCTTTTCATTTTTATAACTAATTACTTTAACAATAATAGTAATAATAATAATAATAATAATAATAA